CAGAGTTTGTGCTGTGTTTCACACTGCCAACCAAAGTGCAGTGGTTCAATCATCAACATGGGCTGCCAAGCAATCAGTGGAACTCTTTTCAGGTTTGCACAACAAGGCAATCAAAAATTTGCTTGTAAGTAAATCTTGAATTATATTCAACTTCTGTTTTGATCTGTTGCACTGACATCATTCCATGTATTGAACACAGGAAAACAAATAGAAGTATTGCCTCATTCACAACGTTTGGGCAAAAAATGGTAACCAATTTGCCTTTTCTGGAGCAACTGCAAAGTATATTGACTCCAACTGGGAATACCAATTGACTCATCTTACCCCCAAGATGGTGGGATGGCACCATTTTGGGGCTCTCCAGCCCACCCAATGGATGTTTCCTGATTTGACATGGCCTTGATTAAAAGTATAAGTCTATTTATTCTTTTTCTTCTCTTTCCTTTCTCTCTTTGATTTCACTTTTCCTTTGTTTCATCCTTATCTATCTTTACCTGCTTTCTTGTTTTCATACTCACATGCTAGCTCAGACAACCAACAGCAGAGGTACCAACTTTACCATGGATGCCAAGCTTCAGTCAATGTTCTCTGTGGCTGAAAATCCATCCAAATGGGATGGAACAACCCACTATATCTGATGATACACTCACAAGCTCAACCTTGTTGTTGGCCATGGACTCAAAGCTCTTGGTCAAAAGGTTGGTAATTCAAAGCTGAGTAATCCACATGGTTCCTCACTCCCAATCCCTTTGCTTGAATTAACAAGTATGAAGCTGAGGACAAACCCAACCCGGACAAGGAGGACATGGCTGGTCTACCTGCTGAGCCTGATGGAGTTGACAATGGCAATGACAAAGAAGATAAAGATGAGGGTGATTCATCTTTTGATGAACCTGATGTGGTTGCAATAGCTCTTGCAAAAGTAAGTCCTGTTTTTTTCAAATTTTAATTTTACTATCAGCTTTCACTTTTCTTTGACTAATCCAATTCTTTCCTTACATACAGGTTGATGCTGTCAGTGGCCAGATCTCTAGCAGTGCAGCATGTCAATGCAATTTCAAGACCCATGCTACCTGGTTAGGATATGCTGGTAGAATGGTTAAAAGACCTTGCAAAACAAAGTGGAACAGTCACTACAAAAGTATAAAGATTGCATGTGAGGCACAAGAGGTATGTAGCTCTTTGGAATGTCTCTTGAATGTCCCTCTTCTGTTATAACTCCCTTCTCCTTCTCATATTGTCTTTGCAGGTTATCAAATATATGATTTCAGCCAATCAAAAGGCATGTTTCTTTAAGGGGATAAAGATCTTGCCTTCAGAATGGAATCTGGTTGAGTTTGCAAACAAGGTTTTGAAGGTAGTTGAGTATTTAACTTTGTTTGTCAATTTTTGGTGTACTGACCACCTTTTCTTCCGCTTTCTTAGACACTTGTTGATGCAACTGCCCAAGTTGAAGGAAATGGTCCTACATGATACATTTTCCTTGCCAAATGCAAAGGTGTGATCAGCAAACTCCAGAATCTTCAAGCAAAATCTCTCTTTTCAAGTATCAACAAAGCCATTGATGTCATGATTGAATGGCTTGGAGAGTATCTGAACAAGGCCATCAAATGTAGAACCTTAGTCTTAGCAACCACTATAAATCCTTGCTTCCAAGGAAAGTTTGTCTCAATCCAGTCCCAATTGCACAGTCTCAGCTGAAGTTGCAATCAATCAAGCTTTCAATAATCTTGTGGAAGACAACAGGGTACTTGATCAGGCTCTACCACCCAATGAAACTGACAAAACCAAGCCCAATGAATTTGATATCCTTGGTGTTGCCAATGGTGGTAACAATCCTTCACCTGCTTCCAAACTAGACAACTACTTACAGGTTCACTGCCCTATCAAGAAGGCTCAAACAGCACTCAAGTGGTGGAATGTTGGTAACAGTTCATCTTCACCTTTTCAACTATTTATATTATTCTCCTTTAACATGGCTAGCATAATTTCTTCTCACCAATAGGGGTATCAATTCTGTTTTCCTATCCTTTCAAAACTCACTTGAGATCATTTAGCAATATCTTCTACCTTGTGCATGTATGCATACATTATCGGCGGCTGCCAATGGTTGAACTTGTACCCCTTCACGGGCTAGTCTCCTGCCCAAAACCATGGAGCACCTACTTGGTTCTCAAGCCTGGTTGAAGGATGGAATTGTGGCAGATGGATGTTTTGAAGAGGACGTAAGGGCTCTTTGAGTGTGTTTAGATGAACTGGCAAAGACGAAAGCTAAGCCTACAGATAAACCAGTAAAAAATACAGGCTAACAATTCATGGTTCACATTTCCAAATCAATCAAAGGTCTCAATTAAATATTTTCATCTTGCAGTTAAATTTGTTAAATTTTTCTGTTTCACATAAACTCCCAAGCCTACTCTCCTACCACATCAAGCCCTATAGGTGTGATCTGTATACACATAGTTTGTATTTTTGAAATTTACTTTTTGAGTCATTTTTCCTGGTCCTGTGCCATATTGATGCTAGATAGCGGTATTAGAGCAGTAAAACCGCTCCTATTTCTTGTAGGACTTTGAAAAAAAAATGTTTGATATTGCTTGACTGGTAGTGGTATACCGTTCCCATACAAAGATGGGGCATAATCCATATTGTATCGGAGTGGTTCCGGTACATATTGCCACGTAAGTACAAGACAAAAATTATCAACTAGCTTAATTGCTACTTCATTCATATGTACAGCCCACTAGGTTGTCTCAGGCTGTCCCTCATTTAAAAAGAAATGGACATGTTGCTACAGTGTAAGGAGTACACACATATGTAGTAGTCATGGGAGTTGTAATATGGGATTATGCAGTGCTTAATATATGTTTCTCTTCACCACCCAGCTTTGCAGATTCCTCACTACTCAGAGGGCCAACTGTGGGACTTTCTGGAGCTAGGTGAGTTCTCTTTGTTTGTTGTTTCTTCTTGATTCTTTCTATTCAGATGGTGTTGCTGACTACTCAGAGAGCAAACTGTGGCTTTCTGGAGCTAGATTGTAATTTGATATAAGATGGTTCCAAGTTAATAGTATGTTTGTGCTTTCTCAAGGAGTTGTGCCGGAGCCTTGGCCAGACCCTCAGTGAAGGTCCTCAAAGAACCTTACATACAGTCACTCACAGGATCTGCTGACAAACAGACCAGACTCAAGGAAACCAAAACAAGTGTGCAGCTGAGAAGCATTCATCAAGGCTTATTCAAAGAGCTGTTTCAGAATGTGATGTGGGGCAAAAGTTGCATTGGGAATGCCTGCTCTGGACACAGAGTAGTGGTGCAATGTCTGTGTGTCGATACCCATGCTGTCGTGACTCCAAGCATGGCCTGGTGGCGCAATGGTAGCGCGTTCGACTCCAGTTCGAGGGTGTTACTCTCCTGGTCACATCGAAAGGTTCCGTGTTCAAGTCACGTTCGGGTCATCCTTTTTGCGGGTACCGAAGTCCCATAAACATCTCCTTGCAAAGCCGACGTATCAGTTGAATATGTGAACGTAATTTAAAATTGGGTGCCGGATCTGCATCCCTAGTGACGCTTGCTATTGCTTGAAATATTCAATGAGGGGGAACATGGTCAATAAGTGATTTTGTTTGAACTATCAACTTGGAGTGCTTTGAAAATACAGATGTGATCTTGTAGCCGAAAAAGCCAGGTAGGAAAGGGCTTTTGATCACCTTTGATGGCTATTCAAAAATCAAATTCATGATGATTGAAGCCAAATCCAATGGCCGAGGAGTTTGGTAGCAAAAGAAACATGCTCAATGGACAGATAGATCATCATGATTGTCATGGGGCATCTGTCTAACAGCGGGTCAATTGAGCTGATATGGAGTATGGAGGAGAGGATTTATTCCCCCAGCTTTGAACAATGGTATTTGAGAAATGAGTTTATTGACTCCGCTCTTTCCATCTACTCACAACTCTTCCACGTTTTGCACCTACTACAATGCTTTGATCCAATGTAGCGGATGTTTTTGCTGTAAGCCAATACAAGAATTCCAATGTTTAAACATATAACTTCTGAGTAGAGCATCAACATGTGAGTGGATGTAGTAGGCCATGAATTTTTCACAATCAAGGTGATCGTTGATCATTCTTGCTGATGAACTCTCTAAAGTCCAAAATGATGATCCCTACCTGCGGCAGCTTTGATGAAATTTGTGAGTGAAGGCTGCTTCGCAACTTTTGGAAATCTCATCAAGGAAGCATGTGGGACATCCCAATATACTGTCATTCAAGAACTGATTCTCAGAACTGTGAACATGGACAGTTTCCAGACCAATTCCACTTGAGATCGGATTTGTAGTCGCAGTGCCGATAGCGATAAGGTTGGACGAACTTTGTCGTGAAGTTACGATTTCCTGGACGAGAAAAACACCCCTCAGAGATGAGCTCGATTGAAGATAACTCATGTATGTACATACAAGCAGCATTAAACTCGACCGCAAAGATATACCTCGTATGGGCAAATTTACTTTTTGCCCATCGTCCTACAAGCTTACAATCGCCGACTTTGCTGTTTGAAGTCTTCCATTGCATTTCGAGCATCTTGGTAATTCTCATTCAGGAGCGTTGCTCAATTTTACAGCTATCTTTCGTCGGGATTATTCAACTCTACATTCCTTTACTGAACTCTCTGATTGTGGATCCCTTACTCGGTTACTCCTCACATTAGCCACCTTCATAACTCAAAGCCCACGATGGCAGCGTCGATTTATCGTAAAGTGATGTCTGTGCCACTTTTGATAGGATTCACGACAATATTGATACTCGTGATGAAAAGACATATTCCACACACATATTTCCACTCAGGTCTCTTGTCACAATATCCACACTTTTCTCGAAGTCAACAAGAAGAAGTCGAAAAATACCAGGCAAGAGGAGGAACACTTTTCAAAGCCGCAACTCAAGCTGGACACGAGAAAAGGTTTTTCTACCAATTCACCAAGCACAAAAGACTTGCGGGATCGGAGGCATGGACTTTAGAACAGAAAGGAAATACTGGAGTGTCTGCCATGCAATTAAGCGTCATCAGTGACACTGAGGCAATTGTGATTGACAAAGTGTGCATTTTCATTCTGGCGCTATATTGTTTTGTATCTGCTCTCGAGACACCTTTTGCCAAGTTTGACTTCTTCGTTTGGTACAAAATCGACGTTGATAATTCAAGGTGGAACACAACCCGCTCACGACCCAAGGGCATCCATCATGGGCTGCAATTTACAATCTCGACACACATGCAGTCAGGGCGCTGAATCCAACTTCGAATACGTTTTGCGCGGCTGGAAGCTTTCTGGGAAATGGTACCTTGATCAAGTAAGAAGACAAGCAACCTTTATACCTTTGCTGTGGAGGTGAACTGATTAAAGACAATCTTCCTCTGAGCTTAAAAGTGTTGGAGGAAACGCAGTGGTAGAAGGCAAAACGGGTACGCCGACTTTTGGAGATTTGAACGGACTCCGATCTATTCGATTCTTCACCCCATGCAAAGATGGACAATGCGACATCGTAGAATTTCCCGATGCATTACGCTTGACCAGTGCGCGATGGTATCCAACTGTTACGAGACTACCCGACGGCAGTGTCATGATAATGGGCGGTAGTAAAGGGGGAGGTTGGAAGTCAGTCATGCCCACCCTTTCTTTGAAATATAAAGACCAGATCATGAAAAATAAAGTTACAGAACTGAAACTGTCTGTTACATTTTTAGAAATAAGGCTGGTAGCAACAATCCTTCAATCGAATACTTCCCACCCAAAAAACTTGACTTCGCCCCTAAATCACCTCAAGTTCCAATTCATTCACCCTTCCTGGTCAAAACACTAGCATCTAATCTTTATCCAATCTTGATAACCCTACCAATGCCCGATATGGTCTTTGCAGCAGCTAACAATGATGCCATGCTCTACAGCTGGCGTACAGGAGTCGAGAGGCCTTTGCCTTCTTTCCCCAACGGTGTCCGAGTCTCCTATCCTTTCACAGGCACAGGAATAATTCTTCCACTTACCTATAGAAACGCCTATCAGCCTGAAGTTCTCATATGCGGTGGAAGTTCCATAGCTGATAGTTTGACACAAGCGGAAGTCAAAGCGTCCGATCCGGCATCAGACCAATGTGTGCGTATGGTACTTACAGATAGAGGTATAGCCAAAGGCTGGGAAGTAGAGAAAATGCCACAACCTAGGGTAATGCCTGACGCAGTGATGATGCCTGATGGGAAAGTCCTCATCGTCAACGGCGGGATGTCGGTAAGCTGAATTTCACGATGATGCCTAGCAAAAAGATGAACGACAGAAACGGGATTTGAAAGCTCATACGCAATATTCGTTGATCTAGGGAACTGCAGGTTACGGCAATCTTCCAGACAAGATAGGAAATTCGAACGCCGATCATCCGGCCTTCAGACCTGTGTTGTACGATCCCGCAGCACCATTAGGCTCTAGATTTAGCTCGGTGAACATGCCCACATCTACTATCGCTCGACTTTATCATTCTGTTGCTACCTTGACCCCCAGCGGCCAGGTTATGATTGCTGGTAGTAATCCCAATGGGGATATCACAAAGACCAAGTATCCGACAGAATATCGTGTTGAGTGGCTCAGCCCCCCCTACATCACAGCTCCTGGCCGACCATCCATCGCTACTGTTCCATCGATAGCTGATTTCTCTCAGATGATCAAAGTCGCCATGTCCAGCGCAGTCCCGCTGGAAAAGAAAAATGTGATGGTGGTCTTGATAGATTTGGGCTTTGGTGAGCCAGAATCCCTATCTGGATGGATTTTATAAGTCGATTCTGACAAGTGCCCCTCAAATTCCCTTATGATATTCAGTAACCCACTCTGTGCATATGAACTCGCGATGGGTTGAGCTAAAGAGTAAATTAGGGAGCGGTCGTGATCACTTAAGTGTTCAAATCCCAACGAGTCCAGAAGTCTACCCACCAGGTTATGGCTGGATCTTTGTGGTGATTGACGGGATTGCTAGCAAGGGTCGAAGACTGATGATTGGTACTGGAAGGATGTGATTCTGAAATTCATTGAGAAAATCAGCCACATCCCCTGAGAAGTTACAAAACCAAAACGCGGGGAATAAATATTTGAAGGAACCACAAACCTTGTAAGACAAGTACAAAAGTACCCCTTCAAAAACTGTGTCAAGCATGAAGGAAGATACAAATCCTTCTAACAAACCTATTTGATCACTTGGAAAGACTCTGTCAAACATATGGTTGACTAAATACCCTATTGATAACCAAAAGGATTGTACAATTGAATCTCACAAGTGACCAGAGAATTAGTCCACACTTATTTGTTTCTCTGCATGCTAAAACCCTTGGAAAGGTTTTTATTTTTGAAAACATGCTAAATTCTTCACCCAAGCTTTTAGCAAATGTTCACTGACAGAGTTGATAAAACTGAGCACAAGATACACTCCTGAATTAGAGACCCCAAACATGTTTTTATTCAGACTAGACATGAACTATGTAAGACCCAGCGCATCTCATAAGTCACCTGAGTCATCTTTTGTTGTCATTTGGGCAACTCCTGTCAAGCTTTACCCTGGGGGGCGTACCACCTTCAGATGCGCTCCAAAACCCAAGGAAGAACTAATATTGCATCAGATGTAATAGAATAATTTGATTGTATAATCATTTTGCACATTAGATCAATTAGTCTTTGCTTTAGCTTTAGGTCCCCAATTAGGAAGTGGGTTATTTTGATACCTAACCACTTTCACATTTGTTTGCATCTTAATATCAACCTCCCGATGACGGTCAAACGAAACAGTTGACCTAAACAAATCACCCATATCAGTGAATTGTAACCCAAGCATATCAGAAGCCAAAACAGACTTACGTAATTGGTTTGGAAAGTAGTACATGTGCAGGACTTCCTTCCTTGATATTTGCCATTTTGACTGGATTAGTTTCAATCCATTTTCGCATGACATCATGTATATATGACCTGGGTGCATCAGTCTTGATGGATCCAGGTTGACAATGTGAACGAGAAACTTGATAACCTCCATTCAAAAGAGCTGAAGCTACGTTTGTTAATGAAGGAGAATTACAATGAAATAATCCAGATAATTTAGCTGGAGTAAAGAAGAAGTGTTCATTTGGTAATTCCTATGATTCAAAATCAATCAACAAAAATTTAACGTCAAGGCCATTTAAAATTGCACTTCTCAGCTTCAAGTTTGAAATCTTACCATCTTAGCTATGCCAACCATACCCTTAATCCTTGTAGCTGTATTCAGTCCACAATCACTCCTCCCAGCGTCTTCTAGCACTTTGTTCATGAAAGTTTCGTCGTGTAGAGCACCTGACCATAAAGGCCCAGCTACATGAAACTTACCACCGCATTCTGTACACTGAGGACCCGGCACTGGAGGGCCGGCACTGGTGCCGTAGGAGTTATTGACACCTTCGCCCGATCTAGTCGGTTTGGGTTGACAGCGACCGAGTGGTTGAAGGTGATGGGAAGAGCAGTTGGAGCAAACGTATACTAGCGCAGTTTGACTATCCCAAGATGGCATCAAAGTATGGATACTCGGTTAGTCGTCTAAATGACTTGCTACTGATATAGTTAGACTCACACCATAGCTTTTTTGACTTCGACGGGAGAGTTATAGACCCGGACAAAGATTCGGACATAGAAATCGATTGATAGAGAAAGAAGCGGTTTGACATATTTGCCGTATCGAGCTGCAGAGGTAGCTAAAGCATGGATCACCTGACGAAGTGCATACTCGTGAGAAAATTCGGCTCGTAGCGAAGTTCCGCCGTAATTAGCGAAGCTAATCAAATCATACAATACTCAGAAGGTGTGCGAGAGGTCTGATGGAAATAATGCTTGTAGGGAATGCGGCGCACCATTTTTCTGGATATGCACTTCCAGCTAGAACAGCCAGATCAGTGCAAGTCACACACAATAATCCTGTGAGAACAGGTGTCAATGTTTAGTCTTCACTGATGGTTATCGTCTACCAGAAATCAATTACCTCCATCTGTTATGCACTGAACTGCAGCATCCATAAAGGGCGCAGCTGTACCATAAGGATCCAAATCTACCAAATCAAATTGTTTGCTGGGCTGTCGATGTGAGTACATCACATCGCTAAGATATTCAAAGAATTTTTCATTAGTCTTTATGTGTATCAAATGTACCATCTTACAAAGACAAAGTAAACAATTCGAACCTGGTGGAAAACTGACCAAGCATCACCTAGATTAGACCTGACACGTGGTAAGTTTTTTCCATCAGTCTCATCTACACCTAGACCGTTATGAGCGATATTAGCGTCGATGAATTTGACAGCAGACGCAGATAAGTCATTAGCGATGATCCACCTGTTATAAAGTTCATCAGATATCAGACTATGTCATTGAGCATCATAGTTCACATGAAACCTACTTCATTGACGGTATTTCTTTTGCATATCGTATTGCTCGAAGACCAGTTGCGCTGAGTGCTTCCAGTGCTGTAAATTTTGGAGCTTTGAGTTGAGGAGTTGATGGATTCGCGCAAACGGAAACGGACGGGTCTGTAGAACCATTCTCTTCTTGTAGAGGTAAGGTAGAATTTGATTGGACCTGATTTTTTCATCAGATTTGGTTGCAACTGGACGATGAAGTTTAAAGATTCATTTACGAGATCTGCTGTAATCTTCGCTTGATTCTCGTTCGCCACTGTGGTTTCCACTTCCTTAGGTTTTTCTGATACTGAATCATCCAAACGTACTTTCTTCAAATCGCTGCCTTCTTCGATCGGTATCTCAGAAGAGTTAGTCTCCGATTGATCGGGTATCAAAGCTCTTTTAGAATTAGATTCAAGTTTTCCTTTTCCTCTTGTAGGTTTTTTTGATCTAGTAAGTTTAGCATTTCGACGTGCAATAAATTCATCATCTCTAATACTACTCCAAGCTCTTATTGCTGCAATAGATAAATCTCGATTATATTCTTGAACTGGATTTATAAAAACTTCTGGAGTTTCAGTTGAATTTGCAGATGTTGGAATTAAAATGGTTGTAGTTGATTCTTGATGAGAGGTGAACCCTGGAGTTGGAGTTGGAGTAGTAGTTGACATTGAGAATGTTTTGTTAAAAGTTTTATTACGAAAAATGAAAATGTTTAGGAATGTTCGAGTTGAGCTCTGCATTCAACTTTTGGCTGAGCATTCAGATTTCACGTGCAAAATTTAAATTTGGATGGCTTCATCACAAAAATCTTGTTATTCCGTCCCGGACTCCCGGCGGAGCTAACCGGTCGGGTAAACACCCGATACTTTGTAGCGAGTTTTAGTGTCCGCACGGTTTTGAATAGTACTGAAACCACTTCTTTCATCCAGTTTCCATTTTGTCTCAGCACAAGGAAGCCTTTGTGCTTTGGTGCATGTGAGGCATTCAGGGATCCAACTAAGAGGTTTGATGATTTGTTGGCAGGTTTTGCCTCTCATACCTCAAGGTGCTCAGAATCCAGGCCGCAGAAGGGCTTCTGGAGGTGGCAGCGCTTTTTCTGCCAAGTTTCTGTGCTTCTGTTCCATCTCTCTTTCTTCTCAAGTACATATCTCTTATTCTGATTTCAGCCTGCCTTAAACTTTCAAGCCCTTTGAAAGAAGATACTGAAACTCGCAGAGGTTTTGTAAAGTTTGCAGAAAAACCTCACATTATTGTCATATATGCAGGGGTTTCATACTGCTTTAGGGCTCACTCGTAGATCTTGTAAAGTATCAGAAACACTATTGGAAACCACGATTACCAGCTCTGGTCATTTATCTCCAAGATTCTGCTTTTTGTCATTGAGAGCTCGCAAGATGTTCATTGATTCCCATGAGAGAATGTTTGATCGGTCTTTCAGTGTGATGAGTGTTTATGAAGGCGGGTTCGAATTCCTCATCGACCCGGATCTTCTCGAACAGCAACCAGCGATCGCATTCATCTGTTTACCTCTTCAGAACGGCAAACCTCATCATTGTCCATTGGCTCAAGAATCACGAATCAAGATCTCGTGAAGATATTAGATGCTAGACGACTCTGAAGGACAATCTAACCAGGACAAACGTACTTACAAAAAATGGTTTCGGGACAGCCTACCAACGGCTTGGTCAACAGCTCAGAGTCCAGCAGCCTCTTTGCACTTCAAGAAGATTCCGAATTGAATTATCCTCCACGTCTTGCTAGTACGATAGCTAGCCGAGAATACGCATTCGAAGCTGACTCCGATACACTTTCAAACAATGGTGAACACCAAGACCAATATGGTACATCGCAAGCTGATACAACTCCTCTAGCTCAAAACTCATTCGGTTCAGGACCTCCACGACTTTCGAGAGGTGACAGTCTGGTATCAAGAGGTTCCGATCCAGACGATGAAGAACCGTTGTTACCGTCTGATCCATCCCAACCATCATCATTTTCACCTGATTCTCCATCCGATCATTCACACCTGCTTGATTCAGGCGGTGGCCTGTTTGCAGGCGTTGCTAATATGGCTAACAGCATACTGGGCGCGGGTATCATCGGACTTCCTTATGCCTTGAAAAACTCTGGCTTCTTTACTGGAACGGTTATGATCATCGTCCTTGGAATCATCACAGATTGGTCTATCAGGTTAATAGCTTTAAATAGTAAACTTACCGGTCAAAGGAATTACATTGGAATCTTGGAACATTGTTTTGGGTTCCCTGGAAAGGCTGCAGTTTCATTCTTTCAGTTTACGTTTGCCTTTGGTGGGATGTGTGCCTTTGGGGTGATTGTTGGTGAGTGGAGATTCAGATGGCCTTTTGTGAGTTGAGGTCCCTTTTTCCTACTTGCATTTGAATCACAATTCATATTGCTTCTCATATAGGCCTCTATGACAAAACTATGCTCTTGTTATCTTTCGCTCGATCTGTTGCATTATTTTTCGCCAATCTTTGACAATTTTTGGGATCACTGACTCTGTACTGGCTTTTTCCCAAAAAATATGTTGGGTATAACACTGGGTTTGTAAATCCATTCAGGTGACACGATCCCTCATGTTCTCACCGCACTGCTTCCATTCCTGGCTCGAATCGACTGGCTTGCGTTCCTCTTTTCTAGGTCATTTGTGATCGTGTTCTTTACTGTCACTGTATCATATCCCCTATCGCTCTATCGCGACATTTCCAAATTGAGCAAGGCAAGCACTCTGGCGCTTATAAGGTAACGCTTTTATTGACTTTTCATCAGCATCACAGAATCACCTGACTGGTATAATTGAGAACATGCACTTATTCCAACCCGTTCTATTTTCCATAGTATGGTAATCATCGTCATCTCAGTAGCAACTAAAGGTCCCACAGTAAACCCCAGCTTACGGGGTGACCCAAACAAACGGTGGACTCTCATCGAGCCCGGTCTGACAGAAGCCATCGGGGTGATAAGTGAGGAAACCTTCTCAAATGAAAGATAGAAGATCTCATTCATGGTTCAATTTGTTCAGGTTTTGCATTTGTATGCCATCACAATTCTCGTACGTAATATGACTACCAGCGTGTAGATGGTCCAATGGACTAATCGTAAAGAATCATCTTTTCGTAGTACTCATCTATGGGTCATTGAAAACACCTACACTCGATCGGTTCGCTCAAGTGATACATGTATCAACTGCATTATCAGTCATTGCTTGCCTGATAATGTCTTTCTCGGGCTTTCTGACCTTCACCCAACTGACACAGGCGTACGTGGCTTTTTTCTAACACCTTTTCCCTGAGATATTTTGGCTTGACCTGTATCTATATCTCTACCCAGTAACATTCTCAATAATTTTCCAAATGATGATATTGTAATCAATATCGCTCGAGTTTGTTTTGGACTCAATATGTTCACCACCCTTCCCCTCGAATGCTTTGTTTGCCGTGAGGTGAGTCGGATTTTAAATCTCTGACCCTTGAAACACTACCTTTTGCATCTCTTCTGATCAGCGTATACGGTTTTCTGGTGCGCCCAGACCATCGAGACATTCTTCTATCACAACAAAACATTTGACCAAACGCGACATGTGATTTACACCACTCTACTGGTCGGCAGTGGATTGCTCAGTGAGTATCGAGACTTCGACTGTAATCCAGACCTGAAAGATCTAACATTCATTTCTATTCTTGACAGTCTCTTTATCGACCTGTGATCTTGGAATCGTTCTAGAACTGACTGGTGGATTTGCAGCATCAGCATTAGCTTTTGTCTTTCCAGCTGCTTGTCATCTTAAACTTTCAACAAAATCAATTTATTCTTCTCAAAACTTTGGTGCACTCTGTTTAGTAATCTTTGGTCTAGCAGTCATGGTCATTTCAACTGTAGGATCTTTGTATAAAGCTTTAGATCCTTCTAAACCTGCAAAGGTTTGTAATTAAATAACGAAAAAGATTGATTTTTTTGGATGGAATAAGGTATTGGTGTTCATATATACACAAGTTAATAGACTAGTTTGATCCGTTTGCAATTCAAAAATCTATAGAATGTTAAAAGCTCTGTCCTCCCAAGCCTCGGGAACTAAATTCATAGCTGAAGATCCCGAGCGTATGCGTATGTATTTACAAAAAGATCAGGAACACAGGATTATTTTCTCATGCTGCTCAAGTAGCAATGATCACACATCCTCATACGCCCCCTAAACACAATATGACACCCGTAACATCTTGAATTTGTTGTCAAGATCTGATAAATAACTTTATTCAACTCAGCCGTTGTTGTCTGTCATGATGGCCCAACATTTTACATCAAAATGGTGTGAGGTGGCCCAGGGATCAAGTTGAATATTGTTAAGTGTCAAGAACTTTCATGACATTGGTAAGGTAATACTACAAATGGTGAAACCGTTGAGTTTGATGTTTAGGTGAAGAAGGCAAGCCATATACATATGGTCAATCTCTGTGATTCCCACCTTTTCCCTTTCCATTGGTTCCCTTCTTGAACCTTCCAAGCGTGATTTTCTCCTATTCATTTCTATGGTTCTCAAAGAGATGTTTTTTGATAAGACACGAGCCAACGAGATTGTGTATCATAACATCTGCAATACGTCAAATATACTACCATCTACCTGCTTATAAATATATCCTTGTTCTTACGCCTATACAAAGAGTCATCCCTCCCGTTTTGGAGTAGAGCTTAGCCTTTAGTACGTTTGATTTCTCCTTCAAAACGAATCAAAAAGTTTATCGAATCACAATGCACAGGCTAAAGATGAGAATGTGTGGATTTCAGAAAGTGGTATGTTATGGAAAGAAAGGTGACATGAATCCAACTGGCTTACTTTAATCTTACATTTCTATCTCTTTTGAATGTTTGTTTTATCTGAAACTAGGCAATTGGCGCCCAGCCGCCACATAGTCACGTTGTAGCTACACCACACATTGCATAATTATGGGATACAAAGTACAAATCCGGACTCGTGCCCGGGCACGTGCCCAGAAGTCCGAATTCCATTTTTGGCGGTAAATCTGTACTCTGGACTTCTGGGCACGTGCCCGGGCACGAGTTCAGCTTTGAATCCTCCGTCAGCCAGATTCACCTCATCTAACTCCAACCCTGCGAACTCCTCAGCACCAACTCCATGCCCCGTTTCCATCGCAAGCAATCCCTCAGACGGTCAATTCAAGTGGAACGTCACGCACGCAAAGCCCTGCGAGACAACAACCTACCCCTTCTAGCCAACTTTGGAGTCGATATCGCTGGCGCCCACTTCCTATTCCGGATGCTTCACGCCCTAGCGCTCTTTCGCCAATCGATCACAGACGATGATAAAAAAAAACCGCTCTCGTAACTCTTGTCGGTATTCTCGAGTTGATACCCGCTTTGGATCAAAACTATAACCTCCTTCGCTGGGGATATCATCTGCGAAGACAGGCTATTTCAGATCTTGAAGTCCTAGATGAAGCACTCACGATCTTAAATAATAAGCGATTTGTTTCAAACAGGATCCCTCGTGGTCGTAAGGAACTCCGAAATGCCTGGTTCTCTCAAGTGCTGATTGAAGGTGGCGATGGCTTCATCAAGCTCGTAAGTGACAGATCTTCATTTTTAAATGTGACTTGTATTTCACCTGCTTAGTGAGGTTTCTTTTCAGGCCCGAATGTCAAAGTTAGCTTTTAATAAGCTGATTGATTTAATTGAGGATAATCCTGTATTTCATAACAACTCGAACATGAAGCAGGCTCCTGTTTGGTGGCAGACGTTGGTGGCACTTGCAAACTTAGGAACTGGAGGAAATGGTGGAGACCATTTCCATGTGGCCAGGATGTTCAATTGCTCAGGTAAGGTTGAATTGTAATTTCTATTTGTACTTAAGATTTTCCCGCTTCATTTTTGCTTCACTTCTATCCACAGAAGGAAGCGTGCAAAATTGGACAAAACGGTTCATCCATGCCGTTCTCAGTTTGAAAGACCAGTACATGCGGTGGCCAACTCCTCAAGAACGCTTGGCTCTGAAAGAAGAAACTGCGTCGATGACTTTCTTCAAAGACTGTGTGGGATTTGTAGATGGTACCCTGATTGCCCTGGCTTCAGCTCCTCGGGTGACACCTGAAGATTATTATACCCGGAAGAACTTCTATGCGTACAACATAATGCTGGTATGTGATATTCATCGGAGGGTGACTTATTACGAATTGGGGTGGTGTGGTAGTGTGCACAATCAGCGTGTGTTCCGGTCTTCAAAGGTCTGTCTCGTCAACGTAACTCATCAATTCACAGTCTTACTAATCACATTCCCATTTTGCATCTATTTAGTTGTACAAAAATCCCAACCTTTATTTTGAAAAAGATGAGTATATACTAGCCGACTCCGCGTATACGGTATCCGATGTGGTGATTCCTTGTCTCAAACGATGTGCTGGTCACAGCCTTCGATCTGATGAAGACGCTTTCAATAAAGCAATCAGTGTGTTGCGGGTTATCATTGAACATTGTAACGGAATGTTGAAAGGCAGATTTCAATCTTTAAAAGAACTTAGATTAGTCATCAAGGACGCCTTGACTGCATTGCAAGCTAACCAGTGGATCAAAGTATGTTTGATCATACATAACTTCCTCATCTCTATCAAAGAGGACTGGTCTGGTGTACTGGGGACGTTAGACGAACCTCTTGATTACCAACCGCGCCGTCGAAATACACCTCCGGGTGCCCCAAATTTTGATAATGACAATTCAATTTTAAGAACAGAGCGTGATACACGTCAAAGAGATGATCTTTTTGCTGAATTCTTAATGACCAGACAAAATCATTAAGATATTTATTTTATTACATACCTTAGTTTGGGTGAACCCATTGTGGTGGCTTTTTCTTACTTAAGTGCTCACTTTTTTTGTTTGAAGTTTTTTTTTTATGTATTCTCCTTTTATGTTATTTTCAAATAAAGTATCTATTTGATTCATTTCGAAAGTGGCAAATAATAAAAATCGATTTCAAAATAACAGATTTCAGATTGAGTGCAAACAAGCCAGAGCGAGACAAATGGGACCTATTTAATACTAAGAGGAATCATTATAGATATAAAAAAAAGAAATGTAAAACAAGATAATTTTTTATTTTGATTTGAGAGAGGTTTTAATTTTTTTTAAAGAGTTGAAGTTTTGACGAAAAGAAAGTACAAGAGATATAACTCTTTTGTCAAACACCTGAGCCTGAAGCTGAACTCAATTGCATCATCGATTGTGCGTGTTGCGCAGCGAGCATTGCGTCCTGAAGGCTGAGGTTATGATCTTTCATCAAGGTACTAATCAGATGAGCATTTCGTGCCACTTGTTGATGTTCATATTCAGCTTTCATTTGCTTCATCTCAAGTGAATGTTTTTCCTTTCGCGAGTCTAAATCAAACTTATCACTGCTTAACTTCACATCAACCAATTCCAGTTCAATCTGAGATTGCTTAACTTCACATCAACCAATTCCAGTTCAATCTGAGATTTTTTTTTTGCTTCTTCAGGGCTGAACTCGGTTTGTTTCGGTTGTTGTCCACAAATAGAGCTACCCATGTTTTCAACTACCTGAGCCAAACGTTCCATACTTTGACCATGTTTAAAAAAAGCTTGTTGCTCCAAAGTATTGAGGTTTGGATCCGCTCGGACATTTGAACTTGCTTGTAGAGGGGTTGATCCGAATTGATTTCCTTGTAAGAGAGCCTGGATTGAAGACGCCGAACCAGAAGTTCGGCTTCTTTTGCTGAAGGTCCCAACGCTAGTAGAGTCAACTGAGTTTCCAGAACCTGTGCGCTTGAGTGATGAAGAGGTCGTTTGAGTCTCAGATTGGGCTTGAAAAGAATCTCTCGGTCGGAACGGGGTGGGTGTGTAAGGGATTTGACCGTCATCTGGAATTTCATCGTTGTCATTCAAGACATTCATGAAGTCTTCCATAGTTGGCTCTTTGGAACTACTGTTTAAACCATCTTCCACAGCATTTGTTGATAAAGCCTCTTGCATAGAACGGCTTTGAAGCTCCTCATAAACTACATTTGAATTAACTGAATGTTCTCTTGAATCACGCTCCATTTGAACTTCGCTTTCAAGGTTTTGAGTAGGTGCAGGTAAACCGTGCGCGGCAGCGAGTCTGACATTAGCATGTCGGGTTCCAAAGACGGGCTCCAGTTCCACGAAGTATCTACACTTCTTCAAGATAGATGCTAAGAAGAATGCGAGAAAAGACATTAGAACAACACATAAGGGAAACATGCATAGATCCAGCATGATTGCTTACCGAAGGCTACCTTTTCCATTTTAATCCATTCAGGATTATCATCAGCCCAACCTTTCGCAGCCTTGACTTCCTTCGCTGTCATCCAAGTGCCTTGGCCAGTCCGGTTTCGCTCATCATCGGCTTTGCGCCAAGCCTCTTCTAATCGCATAATCTGTATCACAATATTGATTTATGAAGAAATCAATAAAGTGAGACTGAGACATCAACAAAGGAAAGAAACATGAATAAGACAAAAATATGTACCTTTTTCCGGATCGTGTTCGCATCTTGCCAAGTGATTCCATTATCTATGAAATACCTTTCAATCTCTTCAGCCACAGCTCGCTTTTCAGATTTGTTATCTTTGAATCTACTGAAATTATGTTCATCTGTGAGCCAATTGAGCAATAAGTACATCAAAGATTTCCCCGCCCCATTATCATCATTTTCCCAATGAATGGTTGTCCTGCGGCCCTTCTCATCCTCGTCATTAGAACTTTCATCATCAGATTTCGGCTTTTTGGACTTCTTCGATTTTGGTTTCCGACTTTTTGACTTAGGAGGCGAGCGTGGTTTGGGTTGATCTGCTTTTGATTTACGAGGTTTCTTAGCTTTGGGCATTTTGTTTTTGTTGGGAACACTTGAGCCGGCGGATTGAGCTAGTTGGATCGCGCCAGTGAGCACCTGACTGAGAGTTGAAGGGTCCAGTTGGAGATGAGTAGCGTTAGGATCTGGTTCGGAAGAAGGGTCAAGGGAATTGAAGGTATCAGAGGGTATATCTTGAGACGACGACATGAAATTAAAGTTAATCTGGTATGTGGGTATTGAATTGGGTGTGTGGAATCTGAGCGGAGATCAGATTTGGGCAGTGAATTGGGCAGTGAGGTGGGAATTAAGTTTTGCCCAGTTTTTCCCTCGTGTCCGGGAAACTGGACTTCTGGGCACGTGCCCGGGCACAAGTCCGGATTTGTACTTTGTATCCCATAAATGATGATATGTATCATTATGCAATGTAAGGCCATCGGGGCCGGCCATTGCTCGCCTGTCGGAGCCACTCCTCACAAACAGACCTGGAATAGGCCTTCGCAATAGGCCACACATTGTCCTGCCCAAACATTAGCTGTGTCTCTCGCCATGTTCAGGGAGGCCACTCAACATTGTCTGCGTTTCAGACCACCCCGTTGACTACCACCACTAGCACTGCATGACCTGACATCACGATGCCCTTGGATATCAATAGACCAACGGACAGATCAATCACCTTAACCCTTGTAGGGAGAACCACGACGAACCCTTAATCTCAAACGAAGTTCTAATGCGAAGTCAATTCGAATTACGACAATGGACCCTTATCCACGTCATCTAACCACGACCTTTCACGTTGCAACTCGCCTCATCTTTGCACCATTTGACGACTATAAAGCAATTGCCTATCTGCGCAAGAGAAATAAGCTATCCAATTATTCGCTCTCAACACCAACCAAGCTTCCTGTCACGCTTCATAGCCCTGATGTCTGCCACAAACTATGCTGAACACCCCGTATCTCCATTGAGCGATCCTCAATTCTTGAATGTGTTAAACAGTCACTTCCTACAATGTGTGTCCAACACGCACTCCATCTCGTTCTCAATGTTGTGCGGTTGCTGACAATTTCTCGTGCCAGATATCGAACCATCGAAATTGTTTATCTTCGAAACTGGAGTCACTACCAGGATGCATCTGTGGCACAATTATGCCTTTCGAATTCGTGATTTTGGATCACCTCGTGCCTCAAGCCTTGTTTTTACACTACAACCTGCTCCTGACATCCCAGACCCCGACCGTGAGTTCATCGTAACAATCCACAGACGTAGTACTTTCTCTAATACCTGACACGTTTTAGGATACATCGTTGCGGTACTAAACTTGGACCAACAAAAATCACCGCATGAGACCGTCTTCATGGTCATTACGCAAACAATTATTTCCAAAACGTCCATAGAGATCACGCCTTTGGCAAAAGTCGCCTAGAGTACCAATGAGGCTATTGCACCCTATACACCACACCAAAGTGTTTCGTAGAACAATGGCTCCGCCCTTGGATTGTGTATGACATACATTGTATTGCTGACATACTCATCGTGTCCGCCTTCATCCCGATCATCACCTGTTGCATGTAATACAAACCCTATAGCATACACCACCACAATGAGGCACTTTGTCTACTATCGGTGTCTGAGGCTCAATTGATGCGTTCATACTGGGTCCCATTGTCGGCGCAGGCTACCCTCGCAACCTCCCTGCACATTGACCCCCCACGTCTCCCAATCGTTGACCAAGTGAACAGCCCAAAACCGATTTTCGCGTGTATGCCAATGCTCCAATGCCAATTTCCAGGCCACATCGGACCACATTGCTCATGTAAACTGTGTCACCTTCTGTCTTTCCCGGCCCGCTCCTTGAACCCAAGCATATGAGATTGTTCAATATCCAGTCGTAGTACCGCTGTCTTCCCCCCAATGAATTCAAACACGTAGAGCAATCTTACGGGCTTACTGTCAAGGACCCTTCTCATTCCTTACTGAAACCAGACGAATCCCAGCCTACGTTGCGGGCAAGGCATTACCTTCACCATCCACCGACACAATGAGAGCCACTGATTATCATTCCCGACACACAGCTTCCACCACTATAAAAGCACAATTATACCGTCAAATCAAACCAAACACTTCCTCAGGCCATTATTTTAATTAATCTTTACACGCCCTAAATCAACCTCGCCCCAATTACTCCACAAAATGCGATCCGGAGTCCTAATCACGGCCACCCTCCCCGTCACCAGCGTCGTCAGTCTGATCATTAAGCGTATCATTTCCCTGTTTACTGACGTACGCCATGTAGTCTACCCGGCGAACACCCGGTGTGCTCGGATGGCACCAGGCCGAGACTGTGCTAGTACTTGGCCAAGCTGACGGGCATCTCGACTTTGAACGCATGGCGGCGATCACTTTTTGCAGTGATGAGAGTGTGCTCCAACGTGACACTACTTATACAATCACTGGACAATTCGGTCAAGATCCAACTACCAAAAGGCCGATGCTTCGACACAATGCAATGAGTCAGGTCGACGTCGGACCCTTTGCATCTTCACTCGACAACCTCGCAGGTAGAGCACACCTGAGCGCTATTGGTCAAGTCAAGTCTGTACACTTCGAGGAGGGCACGAGAATGGGCATGCCCTGGAACGCAGTCGTTGTCGTGAAACATGACTATGTTGATCCTCTAGTGAGTTAATCCACTTTAAACATCTCTTCGCATTGCACTCACAAATCCCTATGCTTCACAGAGACCGCCGGGCCACGGCAGAACCACTTTCGACATTACACTCCCCTCCCCTCGTACTGGGGCGAACTGGACGTTGGTGTCACTGTGTGCATCAATGCGAGTCTCATCGGGAAGGACAAAGAGACATCTAGTTTCGTTGCCCAGGTTAGTTCCTTATCAAAGTTAATTGTTTACCAAACTTAACTTTGATCTCGCGCAACAACAGATTGAGCACTACACTATCGTAGGCAGTTGCATACCTGTGGTTTAAACGTCACGCTGCGACCTCGGCTTCGAGTGCTCGCCCTCAATCAGTGCTGTTTAGACATTGGCTCAATGAGCCACTTGGTTACCGCGCCCAGCCCTAGAGCCCCTCAGCACGCACTACACAAGATTGCCATACTTGCCCAAGCGATTGAGCATAATAGATATTCACAGTATTATTGATACGCATTTTAATGTTGAATACGCTGTCATCAATGAATACGTTTAAGCTGCCTTTCATTGAACCCATGTCTCCTTCTCCTCCACAAAGGCCACCACGTCGAGGTTAGTGCTAAGACATGTCAAAGGAATGACTGTTAGCCATGTGCCTCCCCAGACATTAAGGGTCTAAGACACTTACTCAGTCTTCTAACATTTCATCCTCATTTGAATAGGCTTCCCATTCATCTGACTCAATTTCATCATTGAGACCCCATGAATCATCGTCACTGCTTTCCACGGGTTGATCTTCCATGATCGCTTCATGCTGCGAATCATGGCCTTGTGAAGCACTCAAAAAAGCCTTACTCACAATGTTCAAAGTTGAATTACCCCTCCCTGGCGTCAATGACACTGTGACATTTGCCGAGCTGGTGCACCTGGACAAAGCCACGTATAGTTGACCGTGCGAAAACACGTTGTTCGGAAGTGCCACCAGGACCTTGTTGAGACTTTGCCCCTGTGCCTTGTTCACGGTCATGGCAAACGCTAATGAGACTGAGAACTGATATTGATAAAAGGGTATAGCAAACTCGCCGTCGCCAGAATGTAACGATTTGATTTTTGGAAGCATCAGCATGCTACCTTTTTGCGCACCAGAAACAATCCGGCAGCGTAGAGAAGTCTTGCCACACTCTGTTACTACTAATCTTGTCCCATTGCATAAACCTTGCGCCAAATTTAAGTTTTGAAGCAAAATTATGACCACCCCTGGCTTGATCGTCAGCCTATGTCTTGGGAAAGACGCCAGACTATAAGAATTCAATATTTCAGGCGAAACCTCCTCGACATAGTCCTCGACCATGTTATCTATCGACAAATACTCCGACTCGACACCTTCCACGTGATTCAATATTTTGTTGTTGATTGCATTAACATCATCATTCAGCGGCGTCAGTATGCATCTTTCCGAGTAATAGTCGCTTAACTCTCGCCAGTTGCCAACCTTGATCAAACTGTTCAACTGATTGTAATGCTCTACGTTCAACTCCCTGTCGAAAGCTTCTCCATTTTTTGTTAAGTGTACGTTACATTGCAAAATGTCGACGAACTCGTGATCATTCTCTTGCTGTGTCCCACTGCCAATTGCTAACAGCCACTTTCCGAAAGCAATGTTTGCATCGACCTCCTGGTCCGATTGACCGGGGAGTTTCCTCAATCTGACATTAACATCGAGAGCGTACTTGGTAATTTCAGGCCACAGCTTTGAGTTTTTCAAAGACGCCCTCGCCTGTCTAGCGATGCTTGCCCGCGGAATCACTGGAAGTGTCTGCCGGAAATCCCCTGAAAACAGCACACACAGTCCGCCAAAGGATTCGCAGCTACCCCTCAAATCCCTCAGACTGCAATCAACACATTCGATTACATTGATATTTTGCATCGCAATTTCATCCCAAACCAGAAACCGAGCCGCTTTCAATCTTTGTCCAGTTTTATCGCCAATGCCGAAGTTGCACATTATCGTGTTGTCCACTTGTAGGGGCACCTTCAAAGCCAAATGCGCTGTCTGACCTTTAAGGAGAAGCAACGCAGCGATCCCGGAAGACGCCACTGACACGGTTTCAATATCGTTGACCACACTGTGATGTAACAGAGCATTTAATACAAAAGTTTTTCCCGTCCCTCCGGGGCCATCGAGATAAAACAAACCGCCAGATTGCTGGCTCAGACAGCTCGTGACCGCTTCAAACACAGTTCTCTGCGCGTCGTTCATCTGCGTCATTGCGGTAGTCAGTGCTGCTTGGCTGGCCTCAACAGTGTATTCCACGCCGGTGCCAGGCTGATACAGATCGCCCAAATAGCAAAGCAATTCCATATCCTCTTCAGGTAAGCCTGCCTCACCAAGTGACATGTCCATCTCTTGTAGACAGCGTCTAAGCCGATGTAATCCAAGAGCCTCAATCGTAGCTTGGTCCACTTGCAAATTGGGATGTAGCCGCGTAATATCACGTTCGCAATCATCGCTCAAGTGATGTTTGTTTGTAAGCCACAGTGTCATCGGGTCTGCTGGAGGTGAGTGTTTCAAGAGGAGAGCGAAAAAGTTTCGAAGCTGCCCCCCTGTCTGCCAAGACGCTGCTTCTTTCATGGAGGCTGCGTAATGCTCATCCCCCAACAACAGGCCGTATTCATTTGCCGCTTCGCGATACGTGTTGAAGACCACGCCATCCACGGTTCTGATGTCATCAAACCCTGTCGGTCCACGCACATGTCCAAGCAACAGACGCAAATAATACCTCTCTCCAGTGTGAATGGATGCGAAGTACGTCCGCGATACGGTGCCCGTTACATTGACGCGGTCATGCCACTCATGTTTCTTTTCATTCCATGTGAAATGGCTAGGAAATTCGCTATAGAGCAAGGTCCTGGCCCGGACATTGGACTTTTCGATGAGGTGATCCTCTCTGTTCAAGCGGAAAAACTCAGTCAACGTCGTCCGAGCAGCCCGACCACTCTCAATATTTTCTTGTAATTGATCTTCGTCCACCCAGGCTACGTTCTGTGCATCCTCCAAATGCAACGCAAGACGCTGCACGGCAGGATACCTCCCCGCGATGGCATAAGCGTAAAGTCTCCAAGCCGCTGTTCCAGATCATTTGTCAACAATGAAAACAGTGCAGTGTTCAAGAGAAATACTTCACCTTCGGCCGCGCTCACGTATCTTCCATCTAGGTAACTAAGCGTCTCATCGTTTTGCGTGAAACTAACGGCTGATCTGTCGTGTCCCTTGGATATATATTTATACAGATATTTCACGGCTTTGATGCCTACCGGTATTTCCACGTTGATGTGACATTCATACCTCAAGAGTAAGTACGGGCTATAGGGAACGACATCGGAATTCGAAACAATCCGACCATTCTTTTCAATTGTTCTCCCGTTGTTCGGACGCTTGTAAGTAGGGTACGAGTTTTCTGAAACGGTGGTGACTTCTCTCTTTTCATGAGGATACCCGTATTTGCATGCATTATTCTTCCAACACGCTCTTTTACGACACGGGCCATGAATCATATGTTGTGAAACTAAAGCGTGTAGACGTGGATGGGTGATAGGATCTGGTATGTCAGCTGATACTTGTAAGTCAATCTTCTGCGCTGTCCTCGGCGTAGAATCCTTGTCCATAATCAGTATCAGGTGGGCATGAGGGAGAGCTCTCTTCTGAAACTCAATAGTGTACACATAGGATAAACATTTGCCAAACCTCGACCGCTTTGCTACATCATCGAGCAAAGCTTCAAACTTCAAGTTAAAGACTCTCGCAATCAAATCGGGTCGATCTTGTGGCGTCTGCCCAGGTCCGAGTTCTCGAACGATCTCCGGCCACGCTGGATTCGTGGTCATCGTGATAAAGTAGGAAGGTTTCCCATGTATTTTCACTAAAGACATTGCATCATGATAAAGTTCATTCATGTACCTTGCACCTCCAGTAAACGTCGACGGAAGAATGACAGCTTTGGAAGGCAATAAATCGCGAGAACCTAAGGCCTCAACGACTCCATTATACATAGCAGATCTGAGCTTGACTTGATTATTTCTCAAGAATTGCAGTCGCCAATATTCTACACAGACATACATATCGACCAGAACCTCCTGAAAGAGACGTCCCGCCGCGAGAATAGCCGAAAAGACGGACGGTCTCGAGAACAAAATCCTCGCGAACCACTCCAAATTCGTGATCTTTCCGTGCCGTCCTAGAAAACATCATAAAGTCTGTTTAGTGTTACCACACCGATACTCACGTATGACTGTAACTCTGACTTACTCGCGACACCCGGCTGCCGATAGTGCTCATCAAAACCCTGTGTTCCATAAGGAAGCAGTATCGGGTATCGCAGCGCAAGGTAAGAGGTATGTAGATCGGATATTGGCTTTAAACCACCCTCCTGACGGTACAGGATGATGTCCCGAGTGTTTTCCCCAACCAAGTCATCACCCTCCATAATCACGGCGACCTCGTCCGCGGTTGGGAAGTTGTAACGATGGGCGTCACGGTTATGCAAATCCATTGATTTCAGCTTCATTGCAATATCCGGATTGGTTGCAATAATACTGCCGGCGTACTTAAACATTCGGGCGAAGGGGTTGACCTCATAGAAGAACTTCATAAACCTCTCAATAATTGTTGTATTCAACGGTGTAGTCCTCGCACGCTGGGTTTGATTGTCGAGGTCGGCATCATTGTTGAGTCGATTAGATCTCCGAGTTGCCCTATCAACTACTTCCTCGTGACCTCCGTCCCCCGTCACGTACACTTGCGAAAAGGCCGCACGCTTTCCATCATCAGGCAGTAGCCCTGAAATGTTATGATGGAGGGCCCCATGAATCCTGAAAGTATAAACGCCCAAGGGACCATTCACAGAGTTGTCAATATCGGTGCCGAGAGACGTAAACGACAAGGCGTTATTGTATCGCCTGATGTTCATTCTGAATTCCCTTGCGGCTGCAAGAACAATGTCAGTTTGGCCGGCGAAGGAGTCAAAACCATAGCTTACCGTCCGTATCATGCGTTAGCAAGTCGTGGACAAACTGCGGCGTCACATTCATGCCCGCATACTCGGCTGGTAGGTGTACTTGACCCTTCTGACAACATTCGCGATATGCATAAGGTTCTGACTTTGAGGCGCTGTCCGGTCGCTCTTCTTTCCAGTGTAACGCATTGCAGCCGGTGCATACGTCATCACAGTGGCTCAGTCTGTGAGGAATTTCAATAGCCAATCTGGTCGTGATTGACGCCTCGGTATTTTGTGAGTCTCTTGACACAGCGAAACCCGAGTTTGGCCTCCTCGGTGCTGGAAGTAAGCGTGGCAATCCTCGAGGGCGGCCTCTGCCACGTCGCCGGCCTCGTCCGCCCCTACTGGCTACAGCACCTTCTTGAATTGGCTCGGCGTTCGCACCGCGTCCGCGACCTCGCCCTCGACTACGTCCGCTTCCGCGGCCTTGGTTTTCACCACGACCTCGTTCACTTGCGCTCGACGTGACCCTCGACGAGCCCCGTGGTCGTCCACGTGACCGACGGCCAGTCATTGAATGAGAGGATCTATCAGCGTCGTTGATCGGAATAGAGTCGCTGCGTTCAGCTTTCCCGCAGTACATAGGTGAACCCGCGTACAATGGAAATATTCGAGAATGGGCGGCCGTTAGTCGTACTGATGGTTGTAAAGTGGCCCCGCAGAGGAAGTAATGCAATATTAAAACGGGCAGATGTATCAATGTCATGGTTTGGACTTGAGATTGCATCAAATTGGTAAACAGGACGACATAGTGTTCTACATAATACCATCTGCGGAAGGTGTCACGTCACAGCATTTCATTTGATATGGGCGTTTGACTCCATGAAGCTTTCACATTAGTGACACATGACTTGTGAAAGCATCACCCTTTGCTACTGGCCTTGTCGCAAGTGAAGTAACAGACCTGAAAACCTTTTCTCACATTGTCAATGTTGCCGTTGCAGAGCCGAAGTAGTCAGGCGGAGGTCGTATGGGAAATTTTCTTACGGTAATGACAGTAGGGTTTTATTTCCAAGAAAACAGACATTGATAGAGAAAGACAGTTTGAGTTATGGCATATAACATGATTCAGGTCCTTGAGCATAGCTCACTACGTGACAGTGAGACTCTGATATGCCAGGCAGACTAATTATAGACCGATACCTAGAACATTGGAGTGAGAAATCGACAGTGAAACAGAGTTATAGAATAGAGGTTTGGGTAAAGAAAGTAATAGTACGGCTCGGGGAACACCTCGGGATACACAAAACCAGGTAGCAAGCAGTGGACGTTCAAAACCCCTCCCAAACATGATAACCGCCAAAACATAGATCAATTACCCCGTGGGCGTTTGCCGTTGGAATTGGCGCTTGCACGTGCAGACTGTCGCACATTTCCGTTGGCATCAGTGGAGGCACCGGCGGGATCTAACTCTTGGAGGATACTGTTCTTGCAAAATATCCGTAAATTAGTCACCCAAAGGAGATTTCGCATTTAGGCAGTGAACGTACCCAACCAGCGAACCCGCGTTTATCGGTTGTTCTGGGGAATCAACAGGCGTAGGGACGGCCGAGGATCCCGATGCCTCGACAAACGGCAAGAAGTGAGATTCACTAATCGCCGCCGTCCGGGTTGATTCGGTAGGCGAAGATGACGGCGGCTCATACGCAGTGCCTTGCTCGTCCGGTCTAAAACGGAAAATGTTAGTTGGCGAAACAAAATAAAGAGAGTTTCACGAACCTAGGAAGCCTAATTTGACCAGCTCTGGTGGTACGTGATTGGCCGGTTGCACCTCCGGGAGATGGTGAATTGATGTTTTCGTGGCCGGTCGCCACGGACACCGAATACACCTATGACGTGAGAGCGAGCATGAGCAATGTACGGTGCATAAGCGATGATCGTCGGGACTCACATCAACCTGCAAAAGGTGACGGCTTCGGTCACGACCCGTTATAAATCCTGTTAAGGACACTTCCCGTCCACGCTGGAATAAATTCTGTGTCTTGATGAGGTTTCTGACTGGACGACACCAGTACTCAATGTTAAACTCAACATTGGCCGAAGTCTGCAGTCAAGGAGTCAGCATCCGACCTAAACCTGAGCACAAGCGAGTGAGCTTACAGTAGGATCCCAATCAGTGTGCCTGACAATGCACACCGTCGTTGGCTTACCACCATAAGGCTTTTCAATCAGGGTGCGACGTTCGGTGATCACACCGATGGAGCTTATCGACGTATTGTCGACCAGATTTCCAGGGAAAGTCTCTGAATTGCCCACGTGAATGTGATGACTCATCTCGTGAATGAAATGGGGGGGCTGAGCATTGTTTGGAGCAATAACCTTGCACTTCAACGCATACATCTCGGAAACGCTCAAACCGACTCCCAAGCCAGAATAAGCCGACAATAGGATTGGATGTTCCAGTGCTGACTGACCATCGATTCCGGCGCAATTGAGACCGGAATGAACGGTGCGAAAACCAGATTGAGCCACGAGAGTGCTAGCGATCTGCAATCACATATGCGGTAAGCATTCCGGCTGGGCATGTACAGCATAGCCATGACTAACCTCTTCGGTAACCTCGAAAACTCCGGATGAATAGGCAGGTTGTGAACGACGAGCGACGTTAGACATTATAGAGGGTATGGTAATACGAAGTAATGAAAGTGAGGCAGGTGCGTCAATTGTTATTAAATAGCAAGGGAGCGGAAAAGAGCGTAATGCGTGTTGGTGTGCAAAGCAGTGAAATTAAATAGAGTAGGCAGTGAAATGAATGGATGGCAATGGGAGTGCCTATAGTGAAGCACAAGAGTTGCCATTTATAGGCGGCAGCGGCTTGCTGATGAGTCCCGACTAAGCGCAACAATTACGGCTTGCACTGGCTCCAGGTGTCAGCGATACGCATTGCCAAGTGGACCCTGGATGGAAATACACACATTCCAATCTAAGACCCTGTCCGACAAACCATGAATAGGCAACAGACCGCATCGAGATGCTGTGCCAGGTCATTGGTTACACTGTAAAGCTCGAATAGACACTGTTTGCCGAAGAAGCTAGGGGTCTTGCTGGAGACCCGGCAGAGATCACACGTTTGTGATCAGCGGTCACAGGTTTGCAACGGGAATCTGTTTGCTCATTGCTCGATTCAGCGACGTATTGACTGATCCCTGCTCCATGGATAGGGTCCTGCACCGCGGTGAACGAAATTTGGAACGGGTCTAGTGCTACATCACGGCGTGGGGGATCGTACGCAGTTACTCGCAAGGGAAAAGATATGGTGTGGCTCCCTGCTATGTTGCAGTCAGCTCCGATGGGCAAGTTTACATAGTATGCGTTACATCACGAGGTGGGACAGGCCCGAAAACAGAGATTTGACTTGAATGTGGAAGAGGCACGGAAGAGGACGTGTGGTAACCTTTTTTTTTTCTTAAATTACTTTACTTTATTATATGTAGGTAGAAATATAATTCTATCATTGTACCTATGGTAGAAAATCATCAACTATAAAAGCTTCAACTCAATACAATTCACCTCTAGGTAATCGCTGAACTCGAATCTCGTAGTTCAAGTTTGGGTGGTATACCTGGATGAACCCTTTGGCTTGGCTCACTTGAGCTACCTATTAATCTCTGTTGTAAGCTTCTTGTTCAAGGCATTTGGCGAGAAAAGTGTCATAAACTTAGTTAGTCTAGGACTATTAGGGTTTTGTTCTTGTCGGTTATATCTTAGTAGTCAGGAAGTCACTAGGACTTTGCCTAATTTGTTATTTTTCTTTTAGTTTCTGTTTTAGCATTACGTGTTTATTTGTTCCTTGTTCCTTAATAGTGTTTTCTTCTTCTCTTATAAGTTGTTACGTTTTTCTCTTCTTGGGATTTCTCTTTTCTCTTTATCGAAATATCTATTATCTTTTCTCGCTTTTCAAAGACCAGACTTTCCTTAGACCAGACCAGAACGGGTTTATACGTTCAAGACCAGACTTTGACTTGTATCTGACAGATACAAGGTTCCCCATCACAATTTATATTTCGATCTTCAAAATTTAATTTTTTTTTCCTATTAAAGTTCTTTTTCTCATGATTTTGTATGTGGAGGATTGATTTTAATCACGCTTTCAAACAATTATATATTCATCCAATTATTTTATTTTCATCGCAACAATTGTTAGAATCTTTTTCTGAATTACCATATTTTGATTATCCAGAAGAAAGTCCATTCACTAGTCAAGGTTTGATATCAATTGATTCACATTTTGAAAGAACCTTTAATCATTATTTGTTATTAGAATTTATTGAAAGTTTTCATTTATTAAGAAGAGATTCACAAGAAGGTTCACCGAATTCATCCGTTTATTCCAATATTTGAAGATAATGGATCCATGGAATCCCAGAACTGGTGCTACAGATGTCTCTTCTTTGTTCGATATGGAAAGTGTGAGACCTGATCCTAGGCCTCAATCTCGAAATTAAGTTCAACAATTACAAGATCAAGTTCATCAATTACAACTTCAACTATCAAATGCTCAAATGAACTCTTTGATTGATCAAAATCAAAGATTAAGTCAGAATGAAAATCAACAATTTCAAGCTAATAATTTGAATCAAGGACAACATCAACAAGCATTGGTAGAAGATTTGACTCAAGGTATTAATGTTCTTAATATTCAAAGAGATGTTCCTCCGCATCAACAACAAGTCCCTCCGAATGTACAACAAACTTTTTCTCATTCTAATCAACCAGAATATTTTATTCCTCATTTACCTTCTTTTTCTCAATTCCCTCCTAATTATCCGCCTCAACTTCATAATCAACCTACTCAATTTCACTCTCATCGAGTTCAAGTTCAACCAGTTAATATTCAACCGATTAACATTCCATCTATGCATCAATTTCATCCTCAACCACAATATGAACCTCGACAAAACTCACAAATTCCTCAATTCACTAATAATCATCATCAGTTCTTTCAAAGGCCGCCTTACACTGCGAGAATAATGTATTTTACCCAGGTGAAAAATGATTGACATTAATGCATAAAATGATTAATAATGCAGAATTAATGCCGAAAAATGCAGAATTAATGCAGAATTAATGCATTTTTAATCATTTTGTGAAATAGATGTAATCATTTTTCACCTCGGAAAAATACATTATATTTGCAGTGTTATCAACCACCGAGTGCTTTTTCAAATTTGAATCAAAATGTTCAAGTTCCTCGTTTTCGAAACAATATTCGTTTTGGTGGTACGGCTGCTCATCTGAAATCTTTCTTTCAGGATTTTTATCAAGAAATGAGAGATAATGAAGGCTTTTTCGCGACTAAGGATGATAAGTACAAAATCAATTGGTTGTCGACTTTGTTTGAACCTCGATCTACTGCTAGTTATTGGTTCAACTCTTTGTTGGAACAAAATGCGGCAGGATCAGGATCGTTTGATGTTTTGATGACTTGAAGGCTTTGGATTATAAATTAGGACCTTTATCATCGTTTCCGGCATTTTTGCAAGAATTGAAAATTGTCTTTGCGGACAAGAATGAAGATTGTACCAATAGGAAGAATTTGGACAACTGTCGACAAGGTTCAAGCACTATTGTCAATTATAATTCTAGATTCAGATCATTGGTCATTCATGTCAGTATATCACCTGAAGATGCAATTCTGAAATATGTGAAAGGTTTGGATCCGGATATTTATGCAGAAGCGGTTCGATTACAAGGCTGGATTGGTAGTAGGTTGTTACAAGATAAGATGTTATTGGCAGTACAAGCATTGGAGATTGTTCAAGAATTATCTGAATTACCACCGACTCATTTGTCTTATATCAAAAAGCATCACAAGCCAGATTCTCAACATGTTCACCAATTCAGACCAACTCAAGTTCAAATTCATCGTCAAGATCAAGCTGTCCCAATGGACGTGGATGCTGTTACTGTCGGATCAAGCAAAGGAAAGCCGTCAATTTTCTTTCAAATCATGAATGCTTGTAGAGAACAAAAGATTTGTGCTAAGTGTTTGAAGGATTATGATCTTCAAGGTTCTCATGCTAAAGGTGTTTGTCCAAATCAGAACAAAACTTTACAGGAAAAATTACAATTTCTCAACATCAAACCAATTTCTCAAATCAATATTCAGTCGTCAGAAGAACAAGTTGAACATAACGAAGACTTCAATATCAATTCGGTTGCTTTTATTAACTCATCTCAAAAACAGACTTTGGAGGTCAATGATTTTATGTCTGAATATTTTTCAGCGATGAATGAGATCATTTATCCGGAGTTGGTTCAATCTGAGGTATTTGTTGATATCAGTTCAATCCGAATTGATACCTGTAAGGCGGCTAATGGAAAATTTATTGTTCCATTTACGTTATCCAATCTCGGTTCCCCAGTCATTGTAATGGCGCTTATTGATACAGGTGCGATGGCTGATTTGATAAGTCATGATTTGGTACTCAAACATCGGATCAAGACAACTTCTTGAGAACCAATGAGGTGTTTTGGTTTTGATGGTTCGGCTGGTTCTAGTGGTGTTGTTGACAAGGAGTGGGTTGGTACTTTAACGGCAAGATCAAGTTCTTTAACATCAATCAAGTTACCTGCGAGATTAGGTGTTACAGCAATTCATGGTCAAGATGTTATTTTAGGTTTACCTTGGATGAAGAGTGTTGGAGCTTTGGCTATTTGTGATAAGAATGGTGTTTATTTGGCCATCAATGGAGTTGTTGTCGCGTCAATGAGCAAATCGTCTTTATCTGTAGTTTCTTGTGAGTCGGAATCTGGGATGCCCTCTTTTTCTGTTTCTTCCATTGCAGCCACAGTTTCCTCTTCACCTGAAATTCCGTCGTCCTCAAATTCTCAAATCATCAATAATCTCAATACTCCTCTTCTTCCTTCTAAACTTCCTAAATCTTGCTTCAAATACTCACACGTTTTCTTTCCACAGGAATTTGTACTCCCCCCTCACCGTTCTTTTGATTGCGCAATTGATCTCAAACCAAATTGTGATCCCCCATTCGGAGGTCTTTACAATCTGGCCCAATCTGAGCAACTTGAATTGAGAGAATATCTTGACGAGATGTTAGGTAAAGGTTTCATTCGCCCTTCTTCTTCATCAGCTGCTGCACCAATTTTTTTTGTTAAAGTGCCTGGTAAGAAGAATCGTCCGTGTGTTGACTATCGCGGTCTGAATAAGATAACTAAACGTGATAGTTATCCAATACCAGTCATGTCTTGGTTATTAAATCAACTTAAAGGTTGCAATTTTTTTTCAAAAATTGACTTGAAATCAGCTTTTCATTTGATCAGAATTAAAAAAGGGGACGAATGGAAAACTGCCTTTAGGACACCTTGGGGTTTATTTGAATTTACTGTCATGCCGTTTGGACTTGCTAATGCGCCTGCTACTTTTCAGAGGTTTATTCAATGGGTTTTGCGCGAGTTCTTGGATATCTCGTGTTTTGTTTTTATTGATGATATCTTGATATTTTCAAAAACCGAGGAAGAACATGCGGTCCATATTGGGAACATTTTAGCTAAGTTATCAGAACATTGTTTGACAGCTTCTCCTGCGAAGTGTGAGTTTTTTGTTAAAGAGGTTGTTTTTCTAGGTTTTGTTGTTTCTACCGACGGTCTGCGTA